CGGCTGTGCTCCCGTCCGTGTCAGACTGAAGATTCTTTCTATGTCCTGAACCATGGAGTCCCTTTTGCCATAAACAGTGATGGGGGATTTTTAGGGAACCAGAGTCGGCAAAACAGCAGGGTGTTTGGAAGGACTGTGAAGCCGCTGGCCAGAGAGACGTGGTGAGGCCCCCGGCCCTCCCCCGGCTCACCCCAGGCATCTGAGGTTGACATCTATGCCAGTCAGCAACACAGCCCTGCCAGACACCACCCTGCACTGCTCGGTGGGCTGCCCCCAGCCCTCATGGCTGAGATCGCTCGGCCCCTCTTGCGGGCTCATGGCCCAGGTCCTGGCCTGCAGCAGTTTCACCCTCTGGAATTCAGCACCAAGTCCCGGATTCTCAGCTCCGGCTTCAGGGCCACGCACCTTATACACCTTATTGTGATCTTCTCCCTGCAGCTGCCTCTGCTTTCTGCAATTGTTCATTGCACCCCCTGTCGTGTAGCCCTGAGGAGAGCTTCTCAGAGCCTCGCTGGCCTCAGAGCGCTTGACATCTATGCCAGTCAGCAACACAGCCCTGCCAGACACCACCCTGCACTGCTCGGTGGGCTGAGATCGCTCGGCCCCTCTTGTGGGCTCATGGCCCAGGTCCTGGCCTGCAGCAGTTTCACCCTCCGGAATTCAGCACCAAGTCCCGGATTCTCAGCTCCGGCTTCAGGGCCACGCACCTTATACACCTTATTGTGATCTTCTCCCTGCAGCTGCCTCTGCTTTCTGCAATTGTTCATTGCACCCCCTGTCGTGTAGCCCTGAGGAGAGCTTCTCAGAGCCTCGCTGGCCTCAGAGCGCACCAAGAACAGTAGACTCAGAGTTTGGAAAAGCCTTTCTGATTGGTATGCTGAGATTTAATTTTCCTCTTCCCTCTTTTTTTACCTCTCCTCTCGGTCTTTCTGCATGAGGTTGATCCAGGAGCAGCCGGAAGTGGAGCCAGAAGCTGACCCTCACTACTTACCTCCATCAGCGAGCTGGAAACTGCCTTCTCCAGCAGCCCCAGAACAGATCAGAGACAGAGTCCAGGACTGGAAAACAGGTGCCCCACCTGCACGCACACCGTGATTTTGCACAGAGACCTTCTGCGGGAAGGCCATTACTAACTCCACGGGATGGGATTTGTCCCCCACGCCCACTCCCAGCCAGGTTATCCTCAGCTTCCCACCTCCTGGGAGCAGTGACCACCATCTAGTCCTTTTCATATTTCTTAGAGGACTCAGCTGGGAGGCGGAGAACAGAAGATCAAAAGCCAGAAGCTAAAGATCGGTTAATCCGTGTCCTGGGGAAAGGCCCAGGGGACTCTTTGGAGAAGGGGGACAGGCAAGTCCCCTTCTCTTCAGCAGAGCCACAGACAGGAGTGAATGGAGGCCTGAGAGCATCCATGGAGGGGCAGGGCTGGCTCCTGCCTGGCCCTGAGGGTGCAGGTTCTCTTACACCCTGTGTCCTGGGTCCCTGCCCTCCTTACCCTCGCCTGCTAAGGGGTGACCTAGGGTTCCCACTGGCCATTCTGTGTCTTACTCTTTTTTCTGCCCTTGTGAAAGCCAAGCCCACCTGTAGGACCAAGCAGCTCCAGACTAAAAGGCCGGGCCTGTCCCCAGGGGAGGGGGATAAAGAGTTCTGGGGAGGGAGGTGTGTGGGTTTGGGAGTCCGGCCTGGCTTTGGATTCCAGTCACCATCTCACAGTGTGACCCTGAGCGACTGCCTCCTTTTCCCCATTCTCTAGGCCCCATTTTACTCATCTGCCGAACAGGACAGGAATCTGCCTGGGCCCACGCAGTCTCTCTCAGCACGGAGAGTCGGGTGGGATCTGCTGATCTCAGTGGGTGTCCGTTCCCATCCCCTCTGTAGCCCCCGTGGTACCTGGGGGCTCCAAATCCAGAGGCTGAGCCCATTGCAGCCTTCGTCCACCCCCAGATGTGGATGAGCCTGGAGCGGTCAGGGGATGGGTCAGTGTTTGTGTCTGGGCTCAGACAGCAAAAGCCACCACACACTGGGGTGTGGAACCACACCAGGGGCCTGGATGGGCAGCACTAGGGCATCTGGGACAGCAGTGGAGTCTTTTTGGAGAGGGGTCCTGGGCTGGGTGGAGGCAGGGGGAGGGTTCTAAGGGACACAAGTCGTGGTGGGCAGGATCAGAGTGGTGGATGCGTAAGAGGCTGGAATCTGGAATCAGAGCCAGGCTCAACCTGGACAAGTTCCCGTGCCACTTGACTGGGAACAGGTGATGATACCTCCTTCTCACAGCCTGGGTTGGCATGGGGTGTTTTGAGTGTGTGACTCTCACAGAACGCAGAGTCTGCTCAAGGGTTCAGTGGCTGCTATCAGCCAAACCCGCTTCAGAACCCCATCTGTTAACTCTTGGAGTATACCTGTGGAAAGCTTGGAGGCCTCCTAGCCCAAAGAGCCAGCAAACAGAGATGGAAACTGAGGCCCAGAGAGGCAAAGCAACTTTTCTAAGATCACACAGCTTTTTGGGGAATCAACCAAAACAAGAGTTCAGGTGACTCCTCTTCTGTTGCCAGAGGCAATGAATTTCAGTGACAAAAATGCCTCCTTCCCACTGAATGCTTAGACAATGCAGTAACAGGCTGTATGGGGACAATTGGCAACAGAAACCTCTCCCCTCTCTCAGCTCATCTAGGTCATCTGCTCCCCGCTGCCTTGGCCACATGAAGTCCAAGCAGAGAAAAGTTTGGTGCAGGACTCTGGAAGGACAAGATACATCACCCCTCTCTGGAAGAGAATAGGCTGTGCTTGGTGAGCAGCTTGGACCGGAGAACCTTGGGGCCAGGAGCCCCTCTGGCCTCTCCCCCGGCAGGAGCAGCAAACAGCAAGGTTAAGGGAGTGGTCCAGGTCTCGCAGGGCTGCACCCCCTAACCAACCTGGGAGAGGCCCTGGCTATAGACACCTGGCCCAGAGGCCTCAAGGGCTCCTGCCCTGGCTCCTGTCCTCTCTCCTGTCCCCATTCTGCCCGCATCCACTTGTTTACCAGGTGAAAGGGGCCTGGAAATCAGACCCTAGCTTCCCTGGGAGTCCAGCCAGCAACTTGCAGAGCCACCTCCAGGAGGCCTGGGCTGGGAGGGGCAGGGTTAAGCTTGCGCTGCCCTTGCTGTTAGTGTTTAACTTGCGGTTTCTAAAGATCATCACAGCTCCATGGAGCAAACTTTCTCCTAATGGCACTGCTGCAGGTTAAGGAGGGCCCAGCTGCCAGAGGACATTGGAGAGAGGCCATCCATTAGCTGAAATAACTTTCCTGGGGGCTGCCTGAGCGTGGGAAGAGCTCCTGTCCTTGTCCTGGGTAAATCTTGCTCTGTCTCCTCTTGCGCTGACTGACTCCAGGAGAGGATGGCCTGGGCAGACACCGAGAAAGCCCGAAAGCCTGGTGCTCTACTCAACCCAAGAGAGGCCCTGCCTGGTTCCAGGGGACCCCATTCAGCAGCCATCTACCTCAGTGTGCCCGGCCACCTTTTCTCTTTTCCTGTCCCCTCTCTACCTCCTGTTTCTATAGGCAGTCACTGACCTGTTTTCTGTATCTGTAGATTAGTTTGCAGTTGAAGAACTTGACATATCTGGAATGATAAGCCTGTACTCTTTTATTTGCTTTCTTTTTCTTTTCCTGATTATTTTTATTTTATTGTTATGTGTATGTGTTATTGTAATGTGTTAGTTTGTTTCTTTTTATTTGCTGAAAAGTAAAGGATTGTGTAGATCTATTGTAATTTGTGAATCCATTCTTCTGGCGATGGACATTAGGTTATTTCAGCTTTTAAAAAATTAAATAAATCGGCCATGAACATTTGTGTGTAAGTCTTTTGTGCACTTACGTAATGACTTTTCTAGGGAAAATATCTAGTAGGGGAGTGGCTGGTCATAAGGTCGTTTGCATGTTTAACTTTTTACAACAGCCAAACTGAGTTCCAAAGGACTCCTGTTGTTTCAGGTGTCCTTGGGCAGTGAGTGGGGGACAGGCCTCCCACGTGCTCTCCAGCATTTACCATTGTCAGCCTTTTTACTGCTAATGATTCTCGTAGATGTGTCGAGATCTCACGGAGGTTTCGTCTGCAGTTTCCTTATTAGCTACGTTAGCTTCTCCACTGCCGACAGAATTCTTGACAACTTCGAGGGGGAAAGGTTTATTTTAGCTCACGGTTTCCATCCACCACGGCAGAAGCATTACGGTGGGAGGGTGCGATGGAGGAAAAGCTGCTCACCTCAGGGCAGCTGGGAAGCCGACAGAGACAGAGTGCGAAGGAGCCAGAGGGAGAGGAAGCGAACAAGAATTTACCTTTCCAGACGTCGCCCCAGTGACCACCTCCAACCCGGCCCCACCTCCTAGCAGCACATTCAGCTCCCGAACTCATCCGCGGATGAACACAGTGATGGCTATAGCTCCCCACGATCCAATCACTTTCTGAGAGCCCCACCTCTGAGCCCATGAGACTTTTGGGGGACATTTTTGTTTTGTTTTGTTTTTAGTGGTACCAGGGATCGAACTCAGGTCCTTGAGCTTGCGAGGCAGGCGCCGGAACCGCTGAGCTAAATCCCCCACCTGGGGGACATTTTTGATCCAAACCACAACACTAAGAAATAATACAAAGATTGAAAAGATGTCATGTATCTTTTCACGAGTTCTTTTGCCATCCACCTCTGGGTAAGTCCTTTGTCTATCTAAAAATATGGGTTATTTAATTTTTATTGAGTTCTGGGAGTTTTCTGCACTGGAAACCAGTCCTTGGTCAGATATAGGGTTTGCAGATATTTTTTTTTTCAAGTCTGTGGTCTGTCTTTTCCATCTCTTATGAATGTTTTGTGAAGCTTAAAGAGATTTAGATTTAACGAGGCTGCCATTCTGACCTTGCTGCCTATTATGATAATTATGACACTTGCTTCTGATGGTTATGGGACCCTCTTGTCCCCATAGTTACCTGGCACCGTTGTTCTAGAACAGACTGATAACCCCAGCCCTTGTCACATTGCTCAGCCACCACTGAGCTTCTTCTCAGTTTTGCCGATGCCACAGGTACCAGAGCTTTCCAAGCCTCCCTGAGGGACACAGACAACTGGTGGTTTTCTGGTCGTGCACAGTACTCCCTTTTCAGCACGCTGCTCCTCTGAGCCTCCTGACTCCTTCCTTCTTCCACAGTAAGACAAGTGCTTCTGGGACTGCAACTCCATTTATTGTTGGTGGCTTTTCTCGAGATTTCAAGAGCCATTCCAGTGGCACAGTAAACCCGCCTCCAGCCAGTCACAGTGCTCTATCCAGTATCACAAGACAGTGCCTTTATGTTTATGTCACACCACCCAGCTTTATATTCTGGCCCCCTTCATCCAGCACCCTCAAGACCCACTTGTGGCTGACTTTCCTGATTCCTGCTGCCCATGTCACCTGGTCTTGCAGCTTCTTGGATATATAATCTCTCTTTCTCTTTGGTCTATCTGGTACTGTGGTTGTTAGTTCATGATGAGATTTGAGCCTAGTTATGGGTCTGGTGGCCATGGTACTTCTGTCCTGCACCATTTCTCACCCACCCTTTGCTCTCTGGCTCTGCAGAGCTCCTCGGCTTCCTTCACAGTTTGCTGCTTTTCCCTGTGCCGTGCCCCTGCCCAGGCTGCCTGCACATACCCTGCCCCACGCTCAGCTTTTCCTTTTTTCTGAACACATAGATGAGGTGTTGGGGAAGATCCTAAGCATTCTTTTGTAAGGCTCTTTCTCATCTGAACTTCTACATGGTCTAGCAAGGGGCTTTTATCTTCCAGTGAAGGGCAATGCCACTTTTGCATGCTGAGGGGGTTCTCAGGTATCTGGATCTTCCAGTCCATCCATCCTGATATCACCCCCCAATATTAGGCTTGCACTCTTTTCCTTTCAGGGTCCTGACCTCAGTACAGAGGACTTGTCCATCCTTCATGGAAGGTCTGCCCTGCCACCATGAGGTCTGCGCAGGCCTGTGGAGATGGATGTCCCTCCTGTGCTGCTAGGAGGCTTTCTGGTCAACCTGCACTTCAGGTTGGTGACTAAGAGACCTGAATCTATACTTTTCATTTTAATGTCTCAGTGGCACTTTGTGAGAGCCCCTAATCCCATTTCCTTATCCACCTCCATACTTCTCAGTGCAATGCCAGGGACCATGCCCTAGCCAGCGCTCTCCTCCTTTTTGTCCTCTCACTGTTTACTGGGGCTGAAGGTTGGAACAATGGTGATCTGTTTCATGCCAGGGATGATTGCTGCTCTCTAGCACTAGGGAAAGGGGATCCGTCGTCACAGTCCCACCTTAGTCCCCGCTTCTGGGGCTGCTACCATGGTCTGTTAGCTGAGTTGGATCCCCTGGGAGCAGACTCTGAGCTCAGGGTCCTTGGGGAAGTGGTTTATTGGGAAGAGGGCAAGATTGGGCAGAAGAAACTCAGCAAAGGTGGCCTCAAGCCTACAGAGAACTGGAGGCTGCCTGCTGAATACCATAAAAGCTGAAGGACATTGGGCTCTTGGTTTGGGAAGGGTATGAGGGTTCTCCAGAGAAACAGAGCCCATAGGATATGTAAATATACATGTATTAAGGAATTGGCTCAGGAATTATGAAGGCTGGTGAGTCCCAAATCTGTAGCGTGTGTAGGCAGAGACCCAGAAGAGCTGATGGTACAGGTGAAGTTTGAAGGCTAGGACTGCTAGAGGATTTCCTCTTCCTCTTTTTTTTTCCAGCTTTAATTGAGTTTATTGGTACATTTTAGGGATACAGTACAGTTACATTCATTGTTGGGATCTTGTACCTCTACATGACAAGTCTTGATTCTCATTTTTTCCCCTTACCTCTGCCCTCCCTTCACCCCCTCCTCCCCTCCCCATCTACAAACACTTTATTTCCATCTTTTCATTATCTCACATTTTTTTCTTTTCCCTTATTACCCTTCCCCTACCCATCCTACCTTCCCTACACCTTTAGCTCCTTTCTTCCCATTTCTTAATGTCAGTAATCTTATTAGGATCTTATGTATTATTGCAGATTATTCACACCAGAGAAACTATTTGGTATTTACACATGTGTGACTTATTTATTTCACTTAGGAGTATATCTTCAATATGTATCCATTTTCCTTTGAATGAATCTATTTTCTCGTTCTTTATGGCTGAGTAATGTTCCATTTTCCTCTTCCTCTTTTTGTTCTAGTTGTGCCTTCATCTGATTAGATGAAGCTTATCCTATCAGGGAGGGCAATCTGATTACTCAAAATTCACTGATGCAAATGTTAAGATATCCAAAAACATTCTTCAAGTTGTCACATAAAATTACACAGCAGGATATGTGGGGCTGGAGCCTAAAACCCGGAGATTAGAAAGTTCAGGGCAGGGCAGAGAACTGCTCAGGAGAGCCTGGGGCTTGGCTGAGGCATGGGCAGGACAGGGCACTATCGTCACGCAGACAGCCCTGCTGCCAGGGTGGCAGGGCTCACTGGGCAGAAGGCTTTGGGCCCGAGAGGCAGAGGAAATGAGGTGTGGAGGCCGAGAAGGGGCTCCAGTGTCAGTGAGGTTGGACAGTCGGAAGGAGGCAGCTGTCAGGTTTTTGGGGTGGCCCTAAGGTCACAGGGTACAGATGCACAGCCGTATCACTCTGGTCACCAGGTGTTTACTGGCTCGGGGCCAGGCTCTGAGGGAGGTGACCTGTCAAAGCCAGCTCAGGCCTTGCGCTCAGGGACAGCTGCACTCACATGGTGGCTTTGTACTTGGTAGCCTAATGTCCTTGAGAGGTCACTTCACTGAGTCATTTAGTTTCTCCTGACGGATGGCGATCATGGTGGGTCTCATGGTAATGAAATAAAACCACTGTAGTGTTTTGCTTTAGACCTAATCCTTAGGAGTTATGGCATTTGTCAGGAATCAGACTACAAGTGGAAGAGACACAAACTGGCTTAAGATAAACAAGAAAGAAAACGAAAAGGAATTTACTGGCTCGTGTAACTAAGAAGATGCTATCAGGTCTGGCTGGATCCAGGCTCCTAACTCTAGTTTTCAGGGTATCTTGCTGTTTTCTGCAGGCTTGACTTTCCCTAATGGGCTCTCAGCTCCAGGCTCCTACTCTACAGGTGTGGTAACTTGGCCCAGCGAGAAGCCACCTGTCCCACACTTCTTGCAGATGGGTAGACAGGTCAGGGCAGTGCTCCCCTGCCTGGTCCAAAAACTGCCAAAAGGAGGATTACCATGAATACTCTCCAGATGAAAACCAAAAAGTGTGGAAGAAAAATGGGGGAAAGGTTACCACTTACTAGATGCCTAAGCTAAGCAGCTGGGAGCCAGACTGTCCTCTCCCCCATCCATTTTAAAAGCAAAATTCAACGATTCTTAGAAAGTTTATAGAGTGAGAAACCATGACAGTCAATTTTAGGGCATTTCAGTCCTTCAAAGAGATCTCTTGGGCCTGTTTGCATCCAATCCCTGTCCCCACCTCTAGCCCTAGGGAATTTCTGATTTCCCTTCTGGCTGTATGGATTTGCCTTTTCTGGATGTTTCATGTAAATGGAGTGACGTAATATGTGATCTTTTAAAAAACCTAGCATTTTTCTTCTTGGTGCCGGGGATCAAACTTGGGTCCTTGCGCTTGCGAGGCAAGCGGTAGAACCACTGAGCCAAATCCCCAGCAAACCTAGCATGTTTTTGAGACTTATCCATGTAGTAACACATATCAGTACTGTGTTCATTTTTTTTACTGAGGTGTATTCCGTTGGATACGGCACATTCTGTCCACCCATCCACCTCTTGATGGACTGTTTTTTTTTGAGGATTGTTTCCAGTTTGGGACCGTTGTGAATAAGCTGCCACAAATCTTGGTGTACGAATGTTTGTGCAGATGTACATTTTCACTTCTCTTGAGTATATGCTTAGGAGTCACATCCCTGGGCTGTATAGTAAGTTTATATTTAACATTTTAAGAAATTGCCTGATTGTGCTTGAAAGTGGTGATATCCTTGTATATTCCCACCAGGAATGTAAATTCCCACCAGGAATATTCACGTTCTCTCATACTTGCTAACACTTATTACTGTCTGTCTTTTTGCTTATAGCTCTTATAATGGCTGTAAAGCTGTATCTCACTGTAGTTTTGTGTTTTTGTAATTACTGGAGGTCAGTCAATCCTCTGACTGCCTAGAAAGGTGGACAGTGAGGGCTAAAGAAAAAGACAATAGAGAGGCTGGGGATTTAGCTCTGTGGTGCCACCGCCTGCCTTGAAGGCTCAAAGTCCTGAGTTTGATCCCCGGTACTGCAAGAAAAGAAAAGAAAAGACAATAGAAGCTTGGATAATTTCAAGTATAGGTGTGGGGGGGGCGCTGGGACGTCAGTGCCTCAGGGAGGGCAAAGACAAAGATACTCTGAGCTTGCCACTATTTATTGGGTTCGTAGGGCGTAACAGATGACTCAGCGGGCAGCGATAACCTTAAATTCAGGAGGATTTATAATCGGAGGGCATATCAGATGTCTCAGAGGTTAATCCGAGGATGAGGATGATCTTATGTCTTTGAGGATCTTAGGTTGATTAGGATGAGCAAAACATTCTTACAGCAGTAGGTGGGATGAGTTAAGCTGATAAGGACTTTGTTTGTTCCCAGGTGAAACCTTTCTCTGTTTGTATTACTATTTGGTTCTGAAAGAACCAGGACATCTTCAGCTCATGTCATCTTGCCCTTGAGCATTACAGCATTGGGGGAACCATTGAGACCTCAGGCAGCCCTGATTGTAATTTAATTGTGAAATGGTTTTCCCCCCAAATTATGCAGAATGGCTCCTGACACCTAATAACCAAGTATGTTGAATATCTTTCCATGTGCCTATTGGCCATTTGACCAATATACCCTCAGATATCTTTGGCTTATATCTACTTTGGTGCCTTTTCAAATGTTTGGCCCATTTTAAGTTGGGTAACATGTTTTCTTATTGAATTGTAGCAATTCATTACCTGTTCAGGCAGCAGTCCCTTAGATAATAGTTTACAAATCTTTCAGTCTGTGGGTTGCCTTTTTATTTTCTTAATGGTGTCTTTGGAAGGCTAAAAGTTTTAATTTTGATAAAATTCAGTTCATTAATTTGTTTTTTTCTTACGAATTATGCTTTTGCTGTCATATTTGTGAAATATTTACCTAACCCAAGATTTCTCTTTATATGTTCTTCTAAAAGTTTTAGAATTTTTGTTATTATTTTCAAGTTTGTGATCCAGTTTTAATTGCATACGATGTAAGAGGGTCCCCTGAATCTACCCGATCAGACTTTCATCCCCACCTTTCCACCAAAACTGCTTTCTCTTAGTATATTGGTTTTCTATTACTGCAAAAAAAACACACACACACAAACAAACAAACAAAAACAAACAAACGACACAAACTAAGTGTCTTGCAACAACATGCATTTTTCATCTCATGGGCGAGGAGACTGGGTACAGGGTTGTTGGGTGTTGGTGTAAAGCCTCAAAAGGCTGCAGCTTCATCATAGGCCTGATTGGTTTTCAAACGTCTCAGGTTGTTGGCAGAATTCGTCTCCTTACCTCTGTGTAACCGAGGTCCAAGAGTCCTTGCAGTCAGCCAGGGACGGGGCTCAGTCATGGTGGCAGCTGCTGCCCAAGTTCTCTGCCACCAGGCCCTCTCTGCAGGCTTTCTCACATGGTGGGACTCACACACACACACACACACACACACACACACACACACACACACCACACACCACACTCACACGCACACCTGCCTCCCTCATAACCAGTCATCCACCAGGCCCTCTCTGCAGGCTTTCTCACATGGTGGGACTCACACACACACACACACACACACCACACACCACACTCACACACACACCTGCCTCCCTCATAACCAGTCGCGGCAATGTTATCTCCTCACCATCATCTGTTGGTGAGAAGCACTCACAGGTCCGTGCCACTCTTCTTGCAGGTGGGTAGGCAGGTCAGGGCAGTGCTCTCTTGCCTGGTCCAAAAGCTGCCCAAAGGAGGATTGCCACGAATACTCTCCAGATGAAAACCAAAAGGTGTGGAAGAAAGATGGGGGAGGGATCTCCACTTACGAGACATCTAAGCCAAGCAGCTGGGAGTGACTGGCCTCTCCCCCTTTTCTCCCTCACTGTCCCTGCAGACTCACCCCTTCCTCCCCATGAGCACCTCTCAAACCCTTCCCTGGCCTCCATCCCTGGCTGCTCTGAAGGGGGATCCTCCATAGCTCAGAGGGTTTCTTTGGGGGGTGATCCCAGGAGACCCAGTGAGAGCGGGCAGAGGGAGGAATGGGGAAGCAGGGAAAGGATAAACCCAAGAGCAGGCGGCCCCGTGGACTCAGTCCTGCCGGGGATCACCCAGAATACAGGACATGGTTCAGACGTTTCCCTGTATGTCCTCAGGGGACACTTCTGTCTCTTCTGGGGAGGGGTCCCTTGGGGTTGGGACTCTGGCACTCCTGCTGCCCCGCCCCACAGGGTGGCCATGGTCCAGGGTTGTGGAGAGCGCCCTGCAGTGGCTGCTGTGTGCGAGGGTAGCCGGGCCATGGGATGGTATGTTCAGGGCACCAGCAGCCACCTGGAAAGAAGCTTCCTCCAGAAGACCTGTAGCTGCTACCCCAGCCCACCTGTTAGAAAGAGCCAGACCTTGTCCAGGCTCCGTCCAGCCCAGCGCTGGACTTCACATTAAATGAAGGATTGGCTACACATTAAACTTAACCAGACGAGGGTAACTATGTTGATTTTTAAAGTGCTTAGAGATAAATACATGACTCAATATTTCAGGATATAAACTTTTTTGTTGTGTTTCCCAAGGCAGCCTGGGGAGAAGGGCCTAGGGCAGGCGTCAGAGACTCCCCATATCTAAAGAAGAGGAAACAGAGAGGGTAGAGGCAGAGGCTCTCGGAGGTGGAACCCACATAAACTACCGTTTTCTTTATTTCAGGACTCTCCACACCTTGATATATACTTCTGCAAAATACACTGGACGCCTTAAGACGCTGAGACCCGGCGACCTAGGCCCATAAATCCATCACGAGGAACAGTCAGAGATGGAATCAGAGATCCAAGTGAGGGGTCAGCGGTGACATTTATAATGGCCAGACATACATGGCAGCCATCTATGTGCCTAGCAATGGGACGTGCGGGGTCAGAAGTAGGACAACCCTTGGTGGAAAGTGGTACAGCCACAGACAAGGAGACAGTCAGCAGGTAATTCACACTGGGGAAGTGCTGATAAAATCGGAGTGAGGGAAAAAGCAACATACAGATCTGGCTGTAGAGCAGGTGCTAACTATTCCCAGGAAGAGAAAGGAAAGCCTCCCCTAAGCCGACCATCGGTCTTCTCCCTGGCAGATGACGCTGTCAGAGTGGGACAGCACAGCGCACTCCCTACCCAGGGGCTGAGCCTGGTGGTACTAGGACCCCCATCACGAGCACGGCAGAGTCCACAGCAGGGTGAGGGTGGCCGCAGGGGGGGGGGCATCTCCTCAGCGGGTGAAGAGAGCCTCAGTCCTGTCCTGTTTGGAACTGGATTCCTCCTGCCACACCCACTGCCAGCCAGAGAAAGAGTTCTGCCGCCGTTAATGGTCTCATCGGCCGTGCTCTCCTCGTCTTCACGGTCGCGTCGCCGTCACCGTCCTTACCACGACCGCCGGCATCTGCAGCGCCATCGTCGTCACCGGCGCCCTCTCCACCAGCGCCTTCATCATCCTCATCCTCATGGTCACGCATCGCCACGGCCATTTATTGAACGTCTGGGTGCCAGACCCCGCACTGGGCCCTCCGCACAGTCTAGCGGACCATCCGCATGGTGAGCAGAAGGGGGACCCGAATTCAGATTTCTCCGATTTCTGGAGCTCAGTTCTGGCCACTGCGCGTTGACCTCTGCTGTGCACTTCCGGGGTGGGGAGGACGCTCCCCCCACAGCCCCAGGCAGCTCCATCTCGGCCCAGGGCTGGCAGCTTTCCTGCAGCCTCCCACACTGGTCTTGGTTCTGCCTTTCAGTCTGACTTCTGGTCTGTTTGATGGCCCTTTTTAGATCGAAAGTCAGCTCGGCTGTCTCTCTGAGCCTCGTGGGTTTGGGGATGAGCATTCATTCCGTTCCTTCTGTGATTCCACCCGGGACTGGCCACTTCCCGTGCTTTCCTCCTGGACTTCTGTGACCCTGCCTTCTCTGTGTCTTTGCATTTCCACCCAGCAGCTACAGAACATGTCACTCTATTGCTCAGAACTCTGCAGAGGACCCTCTCAGCAATAAAAACTTTCTCATGAACTATAAGCCTGATGAGATCTTTTCTCCACAGACTCCTCCTCACACCTCTTCTCCTGCCTACTCCAGATGTACTGGTCTCTCTGATGTCCTGGACTATATCATGCACCTTCCTACCTCAGGGCCTTTGCATCTGCTGCAGCCTTTCTGCAGTGGGGCATTCTCTCGACAGTTATAGGCAAGCTTCTCTCCCTTAGTATACTGAGGGCTCCGATCAAGTGTTACCTCCTCAAGCAGGCCTACCCTTACTACCTGCTTCAGTACAGCCCCTCACCTCCAGTCTTTTTCTTTATGTCAAGACTCACCATATCCTTTAGAGATTCCATTTGTCCCAGCCATCCCTCTGCTGGGCATCTTTCTAAAAGAACTGAAAGAATCATACCACAGAGATATATGCTCACCCGTGTTTATAGTGGAACAGTCTGTAATAGCTAAAACTTGGAAACAGCCCAACTGACCTCAACTGGAGACTGGATAAAGATGTGGTTTTCCTATAAAATGGAGCACTACTCAGCCATAAAGAATGAGAAACCAGAGTCAGTTATAGGAAAATGGATGCGTATTGAGGCCATACTCAAGGGAAATAAAAAGGACACGCATGTGTAAATACTGAATAGTTTCTCTGGTGTGAAAAACTAAAAGTGTAGATAAGGTTCAAATTGTATAATTGATAATGTGAAGTAGGAGGAAAAGGGCTCAAGGAGCAGGGGAAGCAGGAAGGGTAGGGGAAAGGAGAGAAGGGAAAAGAAAAATACGAGAAAAGGAAAAAAGGGAAACAAAGTCTGTGTAAATAGGGGAGGGAGGAGGGGGCGAAGGGAGGGCAGGAGTATGGAGAAAACATAAGAACCAAGAGGGCTGGGGATTTGGCTCAGCGGCGCTGCTGCCTGCCTCACAAGCACAAGGTCTTGAGTTCAATCCTCAGGACCAAAAAAAAAAAAAAAAAAGAACCAAGATACATCATGTAACGGTACAAGATCCCAAGGATGACTGTAACTGCACTGTATCCCTAAAAACTCAGTGAAAAATGACTCACCGCATCCTGATACATACTCACTTTGTTATTATCTGTCTCCTCTCCTGGGATGCAAGCTCCAGGAGAGCAGGGGTTTGGTCGAGTTCTTCACCCCTCTATCTCCAGTGCTTAGAAGATACCTGACTGCTTGATGCGTAAGTTCTTCTCCCGTGAATAAATCAATCATTGTGATCTCACTTCTGTGTTCCTCTTAGCTCGGAGGCCCGGCCTTTAGGCAAGGATTGTCCTGTACAGAAGCCTCTTGCGGTGTGGCCCACTCCAGAGGGCACCCCTGGGTTTGAGCCTTCAGGTTGAAGCAGACTCTCACTTTCACTTTTCTAGATTTCATACCTCTGGTTACCTGGCTAGAGAAGCAGCGGGGTCACCAGCAACAGCAGGATCACCAGCTGGGTCAGAAAGTGCTGGCTTTGGAGTCGGAGTGCAGTGGAAAACTGGGCTCTGGCCCTTACTAGCTGTGATTCATGTAAAATGGTGTCAGTAACCACAACCGCAAGACCTGTGAGGACGGAGGGGGTGAGTGTGCAGGGCAAAGAGAGCATTTTGGACCTGGTGGTGGTGCCACTGCTACTGTTGTGGTTGTCATGAAGCTAACTGGGCTTCGCCACTCTCCATCTGCTGGAAAGAGCCTCGAGTGAGGACAGACTGGGCCAGGGGTGGGGAGCACAGCGAAGGACGGGTCGTGGGAGAGACGCAGCTCTGTGGGTTTTTACTGAGCGCCCCTTGGTTCCCACCTTGAGGCCTGGCTCCCGCTCTGTCTCTGAGCCGCTGATTTATGAGTTTAATTGTCCATTTCACATTAAGTCCCGACGTGTGAGCATTGCTTTGCAGCTTTGGCCTGTGGGGATTTCTTTCCCACCCTGGTCAAAACACTTGTCTTTCTTCCACAAGCTTCCTCAGCACCAAACCTGAGGCGGGGCTTGGTGTAACCCAAGATCTTCTCTTCCTTCTTGTCTGCCTTCGGATTTCAGCAGAGCCTCCCGGACTCCCCTTCCACCCGTGGACTAAGTTAAGGCCTTTCATGGTCCTCTTTCTGGCTTCCTGCTCTTTTTCTTTTTTAAAAAAATATTTAGTTTATTGGTGCTTTTTAAAGTATACATTACAGTTACATTCATCATAGGGGTCTTGAACCTTCACATGACAGATCTTGGTTCTCACCCCCCCATACCCCTGCTCTCCCTTCACCCTCCCCTATTTACAAAGATTTTGTTTCCATTTTTTCCTTTTCTCAGATTTTTTCTTTTCCCTCTTTCCTTTCCTCCACCCGTCCCACTTCCCCTATGCTTTTAGCCTTTTTCTTCCTATTTCACATTATCAGTTATGCAATTTGGATCTTTATTTACACTTTTAGTTTTTTTACACTAGAGAAACTATTTGGCATTTACACATGTGTGTCTTATTTATTTCGCTTAAGAGTATGGCCTCAGTATGCACCCATTTTCCTATGAATGACTCTAGTTTCTCATTCTTTATGGCTGCATAGTACTCCATTTTACAGAAAAACCACATCTTCTTTATCCTGCTCTTTTTCTTTCCAGCACCTTCCCCAACTAGTTACTGTCTCTTTACCTCTGCTATTTCTTGTTTAATGCTGCTTTCCTCTAGGAAGGGAGGAAATATAATTTCCTTCAACTTTCTTTAGTTCTGGTTGGGGCAGATTCTTGTAACAAAAGACAGATTAGCAAGAGAAAAATAAGTTTATTAATGTGTGCAATGTATATGACATAGGAACAGCAGCTCAAAGGCAGAGTCTGGCTTAGATATAATTCAACAAAGAATAATACGTTTTAGAAAAGTGTCAAGACAAAGAGAGGCAATCCTGAGCTGCCAAAGGTGGGGAAAGGTGTGGGAGATGAACTCATGGAGTAAAGTTTTTTCTGGATGCTTCTGGCTCCATCCCTGATCTATTAAAATTTGTAAAGGAGAATTTGTATCCCGTCTTTAAAAGGGAAGAAAAGAACCAGGGAGAAAGACCTTTGTGTTTGTAAATCTTTGTCTTGCTTTTAGGCAAGCAGGGAGGACATGCATCTTCATTATCTTTAGCTTAAGAATCCTTTAAATTTTGGGGGGAAATGTTGGGGTTTCTTTCACCTCCTACCTACAAGCTTCAAGCTGGCTGAGAGAAGAATGTCTGTTTCCCCATCAGCGGATCCTCGCATTGCCTGGGCCCACCGTAAGGATCGTCTGAGTACTGGGCGAATTTACCGAGGACAAAATGACAGAATTTCCCCTCTCTGACCCTCAGTTTCCTTCATTCTTTCCCACAAGGGGCTGCTGTGAAACTCAGTCACGTTAAGCAGCTCTACAGCAGGAGCTCTGAATGAAAGCCTGCTCTCCAGGGTCCCTGTTCTCCTGAGCTTGCTCTGGGTTGGCAGAGCTGGGGAACAGGACTGGTGAGTCTGAGCAGCAGTGTTGTCAAAGCCTGCAGGACTGAACCCAAGCCGTTGGCTCCCATCTGTGCACAGTCCTGGGTCTACTGAGCAGCTGGTAGGTGCTGGGAACCCACAGCCAAAAATTCAGGACATCTCACATGTCACAGAGTAGACAGTCTAAGGAAGGGAAACTATGTAAAATGTTACAAATACGTAATCACAGGGCTACAGGGTTGGGGATCCTGCCAAGAATTGGAGCAGGCGACAAGGGAATTGCTAGGCCTTCCTTCCGCCACCTGGAATTATTCTGGGAAATGGTCAAGATCTCCAGAGGCTCTTGGCTCTGGGTCCAGGAGTGCCTGTGACCAGGACTCCTTCAGCTGACACAGCTCAGAAGCTATGGTGCTTGCTTTTAGACAGGCTGACAGAGGTCTGCAGGGACTGACCTGGGGGACCCTTCCCACATAGCGCACTAGGACACTCTGAGCCCTGTTGTCTCTGACTGGTGTCCCCTGCTGATGTTTGTGATTCTGTTTATTTTATCACTTTATTGACTGGGCCTTTGCTGAGAGCGCCTCCAAATCCTTGGTGGAACAAAGTTGAGAGTAAGTACGTGAATGCTGACAACTTTAGTATTTCTTGGGACAGCCTCCATCACACCCCAGCATATGACATCCTACATTGACAGCTTCTGCTCTGGGAAGCAGAAATGCTGTTTCCCTGCTGTCCAGCTGTTTCCTTCCAGCTTCCAGGTTGCTGCAGACTCACTCAGGGATATGGGATTTGGACCACACCATGTGTTCCTCATTTCTTGCCCACTATAAACACGAGGTCATCAGCAGGCAACCAAGCCTTTAGCACAAGTTTTGGACGACATTTCAGACTCAAAGCATTACCAGATATCAGCGAGGAGGTCCTGGAGTCAGAAGGTGAACTCAAATCTGTGTGACCCCATGGAGCTGCCCTTAACTATCTCTCTGGATCCTCAGAGACTTTGTACTCTTGAGCCTCAGTTTCTCCATCCATAAGTGGAAAGGACTAGAGGAGATAATGCTTAGAGTTCTGGTGCTCAATTTCTTGCTTCTGTAATTCTCAGTGCAGACCCCAGGTTCTGAGCCACCTCTACAGCAAGGGGCTTCCTTTGAGCATTTAGAAAAGGGACCCACTTTAATCCCTGGATGAGATGCCAAATTGGGTAGGCAGTGGCTGGCAGGTTGGCCTAAGGTGAAGGTCTAGACTTAGCAGGTGAGGTTTGGGGTGTATTTCCGTGAAGGCTCCAGGCTTGGAGTACACTGAAGTGGGGCAGCTGGAGCCCTCTGGCATGTGTCACAAGAAGTCACAAGCAGAAGGCAGGAAGCCAGTGACAGTACTCTCTGCAGATCTGGAGCGCCCTTCTCAGACCTTCTCTCTGCAGAGGACATGGCTCTGTGAGTTTGTGTATGTTAGTGTGTGTGTGTGTGTGTGTGTGTGTGTGTGTATGCGTGCATGTGTGTACCCTCAACTGGGCCAGGACATCTGCTATGTACCTG